AAAAAAAATCTTCTAATCAATAAACTGAATCTGTACTTGGCTCTGTGTGTTCTCATATTCTCCATCAGAAGAATCAGATTAAGGGACAACTGTGTCAGAGACGAGAATTTTTTTTATTGGAACCTCTTGCTGGAGCAGAAAGGAGACACAGCATTGACCCAGCTGGATCTCAGAACAAAAAAAGGGAGCTAGTTGTTAAGTCTGTAAGGGTCTCGCAGGGGTGGGCTTAGAGTCTAGGAATTTTAATGGGCTTTGGGAACAATTTCTGAAATGTTTTATTTTATCATTTATTTTTATTTATTTTATTGGTGCATTATACATAATAATGGAATCCGCTGTGCCATATTCATGAACATAGCATAACTCAGTCTCATTCCTCAGAACCTTCCCTTCTTCCCCTCTTCTTCCTCTCCATCCACTTACTCTACTGATCTCTCTTTGATAATTATTATTATTGTTGTTAATTTAATTAGCGTGTTACATATAATACACATACATTATAAAACGGGATTCATTGTAGTATATTCATACATGGACACAGAACAAACTGGTAGATTTCGTTCCCCAGTCTTCCCTCCTCCCTCTCTCTCCATCCCCTTCCTCTGCTGGCCTCTCTTCTGTTTTCGTGAGATCCTCTAAGGTGCTTTCCTTGCAGGCCTTAAGGCAGGCAGACAGTCTGGAGCCAAAGGCTGCATCTCTCCCTGTATCATCCTTTCGCTTTGTGATAAGAGTGAGTCACTGCAACTATAGGAAAATTCATAGGTGGGTGTGGAAAAAAACACAAATTATGGGAGAAACAAGTTAAGGGTTCTGAGAATTTGCTGTTTGGGTGACTTCTCAACAGCATTGTCCTTTACGTTGTTTGTTTTTGGAGAATCATGGTGAGGGGATCCTGGCTTTCATGATGGCAGCTGTTTTCTGAAGTTGGTAAGACTGAGAGTGAGTGAGAGGCTAGGGGAAGACACCATCATGCTCTTACTAGCTAACAAGCCAAAGTTAAGGTCCCTGGGTGCATTTGCCTTTGGTGGGGGTGGGGGGTGCTGTTTCATGTGATTCCTCTGAAGTGATGACATTAGAATTTGATGTTTAACCAGCTGGATGCATTGGGATGGAGTCTCAAGCTTTCATGTGCAAATGTTTTGTTAAAAATGCAGATTCTAATTCAACAGGTCTGATGTGAGTCCTGAGATTCTGCATGTCTGGCAGACTTCCAGATGATGCCAGTGGTACTTGTATATGGCACACTCCTTAAGTGGTAAAGGTTTAGAGCTCCAATTTCTGCCTTTGGCCAGGAACTTCTAATTGGCATAATGATGGGACGATGAATCTCTAGATCAATGGTTCTGCAAGTATGGGCTCTGGACCAGCAGCCTTACCATTGCCCAGCACCTTGTTTAATGTAAATTCCCTGGCCCTGCTCTATAACAGTAAGTTAGAGACTTTAATGCTAAAGCCTAGAAATCTATGTTTTAATAAGTCACCCCAGGTCATTCTATGTGCCATGCTGAAATGTGAAAACCATTGCTTTGTACAGGAGATGACTTTTTCCCCAAAAGTTAGCCATAAGAACACAACAAGACCCCAAATCCCTGCTCATCAGGTACCCAATCATGGTCCCCACGTCATTCTTTCCCCACATTCGTCCCCATGGAAGGTGATAATAGTGGTGCTCAACAGTGACAAGCTAATGAATAGGTGCAGCCAAGCAGCAGCCTGCAGCCACTTCCTCTCTAGCTCTTGAAATCTGGAGAGGCTCTGGATTCAAGACAAATCTGCAGCAGTGTCCTCAAAGCATGGTGCTCTACTTCCTGCATCTGAATCAGTTGGAATACATGTTAAAATGCCAATTCCACGACCCCCTCCCCCCAGGATACAATAAGCTAGAATTTGGGGGGAATCTGTATTTCAACAGCACTTCTATGTAGTTTTATTCCTGATGCTCAGTAATACTTGAGGACCACTGAGCTAATGCAATGCATCTCAGTGTTTGCTGTCCCTTAAAAGGTCTCAGAGAGCTTGCTGAAAACATATTCCTAAGCTCCACCCGCTAAGATTCTCACTGAGCGGTCAAGAGTGGGGCTCCAGAATTGGATTTCGAATGTGATCTCAAGTGATGACTATATTTCTGATTCACAGATTACACTTTGATTAATAAGTTTTAGTCCTTTATGAACCAGTCATAAATAAACTGTATGGATAATAAATCATTCATTGAATCCAAAGGTTGAAAGGCACCTTCAGATTCATCAAGCCCACCTTCACCACATAGTTGGATTTCATTCACAAAATCCCCACCTATCGGTCAACCAGTCCTTTTCAATATCCTACCATTAAGGATGCTACTACCAAACCAGAGATGAGTCATTTATTTTAATTAGGTCAATCACCAACTATCAACTAAACACATATGAGGTGCAAGATCCTATGTTACGTGCTAATAAAGGTGAATTCGTCTTCTCAGGGGGTCCAAGAGTCCTGACTAAAGATTGCAACTGTTTTTATTTTTATGTATCTATGTGTTGTTATTGTGCAACTATTGAATCATACCTTATTCATTCCACAGGTACAATTAAAAGAGAGGAGACAATTTCACTTACTTTCACTAATTTTTGCTTTTATTTTTTTCCATAGAGAGGCATGGAACAGCATTATGAACTTGGACAATATTTAAAGAAAAGATATGATAAATTCTTGAATAAGTCCTATAAACATGATCAGGCAAGTTGGGGTGCTAACAGCAGGAACCTTGACCCTTGAAAAGAATTAATTCTGAATATGTATAAGTGTTTTACCTGTTTTGTTTTCCAAGGTACTTATATTGTTTACAAATGTACTTGTCTTTATAGGATTATTTTTTTCCTAAAACTGTATAAATATTAGTAAGTTCAAATTTTTATGGATACTTGTGTAAATACTTTGGCTTGGCAAGTAGACATTGCTTAATTGGTGTCATTTGTCAATTCAACTATTATCCTTCTAGTTGGCTTAATCCCAAGGTATGCTCAGAATATTACTCATTTTGTAACATATTATGTTTATGAAGTTACTACAATGTCTGCTAATAGTCCAGTGTGACTGTCCTGCTCTTTCTCTAGTACCCGGCCAGCTCCACAGTAGGGCTGCAGGGGACTTTCATGTTTCCTCTCAATTGGCTTCTGTTTTGAGGCATGGTGGTGCACACTTGTAATCTCAGCAACTCAGGAGGCTGAGGCGGGAGGATTACATGTTTGAGGCCAGCCCTAGTAATTTAGTGAGTCCCTAAACAACTTAGCAATACCCTGTTCCAAAATAAAAAATATAAAGGGTTGGGGAGGATGTGGCTCAATGGTAAAATGCCCCTGGGTTCAATCCCCAGTACAAAAAAAAAAATCTTCTATTTTGATTTTTCCACTCTAGGTTTATGTTCGAAGCACGGATGTTGACCGGACTTTGATGAGTGCTATGACAAACCTAGCAGCCCTGTTTCCCCCAGAGGGCACCAGCATCTGGAACCCCAGCCTACCCTGGCAGCCCATCCCAGTCCACACTGTTGCTATCTCTGAAGATCGGGTCAGTATATGGAGAGGTCCAGGAGATATCACGTGGCCCTGGAAGGAGGATTTCATGGGTTCCCAGAACAGTGGATTTGGGAGTCTGAAGGCACTTTG